TGGTTGGATGGAAGAAAGCAGAGGATTGTTATAAATGGAGTTCAGTCAAACTGGATTAATGTCACAAGTGAGGTACCTCAGGGTTCAGTCATAAGACCTTTGCTCTTTTTGATTTACATCAATGATATAAATGACGGAATGGTCAATAAATTACATAAATTTGATGATGATATTAAGGTCTTGGGTGTTACTAGCTGTGAAGGGGATGCTGCCAATTTACAAAAGGATTTAGTGAGTTGGGTAAATAAGTGGCAAATGGGTTTTAATTATGATAAATGAAAGATAATGCATATGGGTTATAATTTGGATGGTAATAACCTTAAGAATGTCATGAAAGAAAGGGATCTTGGTGTAATGGCTGATCAGTTCTTTAGACATTCAAGCAGTGCGCTGTTGCTAGTGGTAGGACAAATAGGATTTTAGGTTGTATCTACAGAAATATCTAAAGAGGTTATAATTTCATTGTGAAAGTCACTGGTTAGGCCACATTTGGAGTATTGTGTTCTGTCTTTGGCTCCCTATCTCAGGAAGGATATTGAATTGTTGGAAAGGGTTCAGAGGAGGGTTACTAGAATGGTGCCTAGGATGGAGGGGGTGTTCATTTGAGGAAAGATTGAGATCTCTCAAATTGTTTTCTCTTGAAAGAAGAAGAGTTAGTGGGGATCTGATTGAGGTGTTTCAGATTGTAAATGAACTTGATAGTGTGATGCATCATCTTTTTTACATATTTCATGGTAGGACTTGGGGACACATTTAAATTTTGGCAAGGTAATAGTCATCTTCAACTCAGACAGTTTTGTTTTTCTTACAGGGTGGTTGGCCTTTGGAATGGGTTGCCTTTGGATATTGTGGAGGCAGTAAATTTAAGTGAGTGTAATAGAAAACTTGATAACTATATGAATGATAAGGGCTGGCCTTAAGATTTTGTTTGATAATTTTAGTGTAGTTTAGAGGATGGGACAGCTGAGATGGACCAGTAAGCTCCTTGTTGTTCCAAAACATTATGGTATGTAGCTGAAAAAAAAAAAAACATGCACTGTAACACTATAACGTTCTTTACTTTAATTGCTGACAACAAAATTCTAGGCCTTTTTATGCTCACAACTTCAGATAAGTTAATCAGCAAACTTAGAAAGTTCCTTGCTAAGTTTTTTTAACGTGTAAGATGAAAAATTAGTGTCGATGGTAAAACAATAAACTTTAGAATTAAGTAGTTTGTGTCCATTTATCATTTTACTCCATGTTCTTCGTGTTATGTCAATATGTGATGTTGTATCCTAGTATTTAGTTTCATTTCACTTGTGAAAGAAAATTGAAAGTATAAAGGAAAATGAATAGACTCAAATTAAAAAATTTGTTAAACAGGGATACCTTTGGTACATGAGAATTCCTGTATGTTTCAAAGAATTTTTTTTTCTTTCTTTCTAATTTATTGAATTTAAACTTTCAGAACACTTCAACCTTTGTGTTGTAAAGAACAAACCAAACTTATTAAAGTTGTAACACCTCTTCACGTTGATTTATAAGATGGCTTCCAATAATCGGGAATTGTTCTGTTGTGATATCTGTGGGGAGGGAAGGATGACTATCGTTGAACTGAAGTCCCACATGGTAGTTGCTCACATTGAAGGAGCAATATCTTGTCCCTTTTGTGACCTAGGAGATATAACTGTTGATGAAATGTATGATCACGTGAACAGTGTTCACCTAGACTTGCAAAATCCAGACGGGGAAAATCTTGCTTCTCCTCAAAATGATTCTCAGCCACAAATCAAAATTGACAATTATGCTTTTACAAATTCTTATGCTTCAGAGTCTCCCGAACGAACGAAACTTAAGCTAAATCTTAACTATGCTGCTGCTAATGCATCAGTATTAAGTCCCCAAAGTTGTGGCTCATCAGGATTTATAACATGCCCACTCTGTGACTTTAAAGATTCGTCACCTAATAAAGTACAGGAACATGTCAATCGTCGACATTTTGATCTCACCAGTCCTTCATTTCCAGATTTTTTGTCACCCGATAGTGCAGGTAATCTTGTGTTTAAATGTCCGGTGTGTAATCGAAGTTTTGAAACGGGTCCCGATCTAGAATTGCACGTTAACCTTGATCACCCAGACATTCTCAGTCCAATAAAGTCTTCTGAAGTGACCCCTAGTGATGAGAATTCCAATGAACGTTGTCCAATGTGCAGTCGATCAGATTTTGCCAATGGAATGGAACTTGCAACACACATCAAGGAACATTTTGATCAAAAGGTCCAGTCTTCAATGACAGTGTCTCCTCAGACCCCATCTAAGTGGCCATCAGCTAGCAACTCTGAAGGTAAAATTGTATACTGTAAACAATACTTATTTTTCTAGTACTTTTAAAAATTAGAACAGACTTAAAAAACTATTACAGTGTATTATATTTTGAAATGTCTGTTAAGCTCTCTAAGTAACTTCAAACAGTCGAGAGGGAAGTTACTTAGAAGTTGGAAAATTTTCTGTTGACTCTTGTGTTAGAAAACAAAGAAGTTAAAACTGGCTTGAGTAATTCCTGGTCTGATGATGTTCTTAAGGTGATTGGTGCATCTGCTGCTCTAGTGTCGTGGTTAGGATGGGAGCTGTTTGATTGGGACTTGAGTCCTCGTAACTTAGTAGATCATCGGTATTCTACCAACTGAACTACTGAGACTTGAACAAAAGTAGAAAATATTCATTATTACATTAATATGAATGCAAATTCTGTATGGTGTCAGTTTTGAAAAAGTATTTTATAGTAGATTTGGTATATATATTTAATGAATCATTTTGAATGTTAAATTACAGACTTCAGAATAATTAAAAGTTTAGAAGTGTATGTATTTAAATGAAATTAATTTTGACTACTCTTGTCACCTCAGAATGATTTTATAAAGCTATTCTTTTGTCAGAATGTCTTATATTTATAAATCTCCCACAGTAGTCCAGTTCTGTGTGTAAAAAGTATGGTTTTACAAAGTTCTTTATTCCCGGAGCAGGGCTTCTCAAGCTGTGGTACGCATACCACTGGTGGTACGTGGAGCTAATGTTGGTGGTACATGACACAATTAATATAAAAAAATCATAAAACTTGTAATAAGCCCTATCTGAGCTTTCCACGTACATACTACTCTCCTCACTTATAGACTTGCATAACTAGCCAGTATTTTCTTCCTTTAAAATTGTCAAAAATGGTACCACATGTTCTTCAATCATACTAGAAAAAACAGTCGCATCCTTTGCATTAAAAATATGAATTTCTGTTACTAGGTGTTTTTTAAAATTAGGCCTGGTTTTGTAATTTTTAAAAATTAAACAAAAAGTAGTACAGGAACCTGAAACATTTGAGAACCACAGCTCCAGAATAAAATTATTCACTTCAACAATTATTACTTTAACAGCTTCTGTATTTTACTTAACATTTAAACTTCTGAAGAAGAAAATATAGTTTGAAATAAATCACATTGTCAAGAGTCTTTAGTGAAACTGAAGATACTTTTGTATCTAGTAAGCTTCAGTTCTTATAGTCCAGTGCATATGCAGGTTTGTAAAGGGCGTGGAAATCCTTGAAAAACATGAGTTTATACTAGTTTTACTGATTGACATAGAAATAGCATGAAACTTGTTAAATGTATTTTTTATAGTAAGTAATGAAATCTCTATTTTTGTGAATATACATGAGCAGGACATAAAAATACAGCACAATATAATGAGATTATATGTCACTTAAAGACTTATCCAAAAGTCTGTTGCAGAAAATGTTATTTGATTTTTTTTTATGTGCAAATATTTAAAACTTTGTTTGTGCTTGATTCACTTTTTCTACATGCAAACTGCAAACACCGTCAATTTCTCCTTAACAAAATTACAGTTGCAGTTATTAAATTTCCACATCATGTTGTAAATAAGCTGAATGGTAATAATAATAGGTAGGTTAGAAATATGATCTTTGTACAGTTGTGAAAGGGATTTAGCAATATACATTTGAAATAAATTTGACTACCTTACCACTCATATTACTGAACTCCAATAAGCACGGACACATTTTCACATTCCTATGTTTCGTGATGTGAAAATGATGCAGAAAAACGTATAAATCAATTAGAAAAAGCATAGGTTACTGAGAAGAAATGTTTTATTTTAGCATTCATGTTTCATCAAATTTTATTTTGAAATTAATGATTTTTTCAAATATTAACATACAGAAAACAAGGGAGCATTTGGTCCTTCAAGGTTGTCCTTGCAAACCCACAATTGACAAAAGTAAGGTATTAATCCCTCATTTTATTTTGCAGGAAATCATTGATTTCTCTTTTAAACTATTGAAAGTGTTGGCCTCCACCATTGCTGATGGTAACAAATCATTCACTCTGTTAGAAATTTAAATGAATTACCAAAGTCTAGCCTGTTGTTTCCAAATCTTAAATTTTTATCTTCTCATCCTGTTATCTTCATAATATAGGACAGAAATCAAAAGCTTTTATCCTATCGATCCTCCAGATAATCTTGTAAACCTTAATAAGATCACACAATCTTACTCCTCTCCTGAGAAAATACATAAATAGATCATAAGTCCTTCATCCTAGGAATCATCTTGAAAGCTCTGAACTTTTTCCAACATGTTAGTATTCTGTTTTAAATAAGGAGACCAAAATTGCACACATTATTTCAAGTGAAGCCTAAGTAATGATTTGTTAGATGTATAAGTACCCCTTTTTTTACTTGTAATTGTTAAATACACCCTAAAATTCTGTTAGGTTTACTACTAGCAACAGAGCACTGCCTGATGGCTTGAAGTGGCTTATCTACAACTGTGCCATGATCCTTTTCTTCAGTCTCACTATTGAGTAGGTTCCGATATGTATTAATAATGTGATGAAAATTATGTGTAACATACCAGTATTGGTCTACATAGGCTGTCCCATCCACTAAACTAAACTATTAAAAAATCAAAAGCTAGCCCTTACTATTCAAATCTTTATCAAGCCTTCCTGTAAACTTACTCAATTTTACTGCATCTATTACATTTGAAGGCAACTCATTCCAATTGTCAATTACTGTGTTAAAAAAATAAAACTGTCTTAGCTGAAGATGACTCCTATATTTTCTTCCCCTAGTCCTACCATTCTCATTGTTAATGATGAAAAAAAGATGATGCATTAACACCACCAATTCCATTTACAATAAAAAAAACTCATTAAGATTTCATCTAGTTCTTCACAAATAATCCGTAAACTTTATATATAATTAAAAATCTTTTGATGAACATTTGACCAACTTACCAATTGATCTTCAAAGACATTCTGTAATGCTTCAGTATTCTCATTACAGATTGAAATACCCGAGAGCTTAAAGTCATTGGAAAACTTTACTAATTCACTATTTATGCCCCCCCTTTTTTTTTGTTAGACCTAGGTGATAAGTGAAATTTGATAATTAATCATCAAGCTAATTAACTGATTTAAACAATCAATTATTCTCACGAGACTTGGATAGTTGGAATAATTGAAAATTGTAACACTCAGAAATACTAATTTTGAGTTGATTATTTTTCATGTGTGATGCTAATAAATTAAGTTGAAAACCTTAAATTAATCGAAAATTATAATGAGAAATGATAATGGCGATATTTTGATGATTTGGACGATTGTAATAATTGGAAACAATAATAATCAGAAATACTAATTTCGATCAGTTGATTGTTTTCATGACATTAATCTTAATTTAGATTATTTGATTATTTTACATGACAGTAATTATATTTTAGATTAATTGATTATTTTACATGACATTAATAATAATTTATATTGATTATTTTATATGACATTAATCATAATTTGTATTAATTGATTATTTTACATGACAATAATCATAATTTGTATTAATTGATTATTTTACATGACAATAATCATAATTTAGATTAATTGATTATTTTACATGACAGTAATCATAATTTGTATTAATTGATTATTTTACATGACATTAATCATAATTTAGATTAATTGATAATTTTATATGACATTAATTACAATTTAGATTAATTGATAATTTTACATGACAGTAATCATAATTTAGATTAATTGATAATTTTACATCACAATAATCATAATTTAGATTAATTGATTGTTTTACATGACAGTAATCATAATTTGTATTAATTGATTATTTTACATGACATTAATCATAATTTAGATTAATTGATAATTTTATATGACATTAATCACAATTTAGATTAATTGATTATTTTACATGACATTAATCATAATTTAGATTAATTGATAATTTTACATGACATTAATCATAATTTAGATTAATTGATAATTTTACATGACAATAATCATAATTTAGATTGATTATTTTACATGACAGTAATCATAATTTGTATTAATTGATTATTTTACATGACATTAATCATAATTTAGATTAATTGATTATTTTATATGACAATAATCATAATTTAGATTAATTGATAATTTTATATGACAATAATCATAATTTAGATTAATTGATAATTTTACATGACAATAATCATAATTTATATTAATTGATTATTTTACATGACACTGTTGATCTAATCAATGCTCATAGGTAATGAATTATAAATATTAATCGAGTTAATCACCCAAATCTGATAAATACATATCATTAAGTAAGAAAAATCAAAGGTCCTAAGCACTTATCTCTGAGGCACTTCACTTGTAACAAGGATCCAGTTTGACTGGACTTTAGATAATCATTTCCAGTTTTCATAAGTCCTTTTAGATTACAATATGTTTATTAAACAGGAGGATGCCTTATGTTTAAACTTAAAAATAATAGGGAAGAAATACAGAACTAAATAAAAGCTAAAGATTTGGTTGAATAAGAAATAAGTAAATCAAGAATGGTTTGTGAGAAAACAAACAGCTAACTGAAGAGATATTTTAAGTTTGTTAAAGTAAGAAAAAGTTAAAGTGGGATGAAAGGATGCAGATGACAAGAGTTATGTTGAAGACTTTGAGATGGCCAAGCTTATAAATGTTTTTTTTTCCTATTTATATAAGAGAAGATATTAGCAATATTTCTAACCCTGAGCATTCTGTGGGATATTATTGTATTGATCTAATCATGTAGATATTAATCTTTTGTTGGTAAGTAGAAATGTTAAGAGATTAAAAATAAAGCACCAGGACCAGACAAGGTTTTCTCCAGGGTTTTAAAGGAGGTCAAAGATCACATCTCTCTCTCTTTTATTTTTGGTGCGTTAGTACACAGTGGTCAGTTGTCTGAGGATTGGAAAGTTGTTAAAGTTATTCCTGTTTTTTAAAGTTGGTGATAAGG